TCTGATCCCCATCATTTTCTTTGAAATATAGTTCCAGTGCCTGCGTGACTTCGTTTATTACCTCAGGGTCTTGGAGTAGGGTCTCATTCAGTCGCCAGGTCCAGCGGGCTGGTTTGAATAGAGGCGATTCCATTTCCACTATCGTCGGACCGTGATCTGACCACGTGGCTGGGCCTATGGTAGCCGACCTGAGTCGCGATAATCCTTCCTGTTGTATCAGTATGTAATCAATTCGCGAGTAGCGATTATGTAATGCCGAAAAATGGGTGTAGTCTCTGGAATCCGGGTGGAGTGCTCTCCAGCAGTCCACCAATCCCGTTTCGCTCAATGATTTGCGAATTGAGTGAATGCTTGAGGCTGGTAAGCTACTATGGCTTGTTGATGTATCCATCTGGGGGTCTAGTGGAGTGTTAAAATCACCTCCTATGATGATTGCCCCTTCCGCCAAGCCCTTCAGTTTACGCAGAGTTCGTCTGAGGAATCTGGCCTGGTTTGTGTTGGGAGCATAAATTGACGCGAAAGTGTAAAGTTTGTCCGCTATGGTGCCTTTAAGGAAAAGGAACCTCCCCTGTGTGTCGAATATCTTGTCTAATTCCTTGAAGTCCAGATCAGCTGACAGGATGATGGCTACGCCCGCTTTACGAGCCGTGTTGTGGTTGCTGAAGAAATTGTTGGGGTAGTACCGGTTCCGCAATTTTGGTGAGAATCCCTCTAGGAAGTGGGTCTCCTGAAGCATAGCAACAGATATTTGTGTCTTCCTCAAGTCGCGTAGTAGATGCGTGCGGCGCTCGGGAACATTCAGTCCCCTGCAATTGAGGGTAAGGACACGTAGTGGCGCGTCGTGGTAGGACACGGACATCCCTGTAAAGCCCCGAGAGCACGCGGAGAGCTTTGCGTCTGTAACTCACTCCCTTCGCTACAGTTAGCTACAGGGACCCGTTAAAGTCCTATCCGGTGTCTTATATCTTTTGGCGTGAACGGGAGCGCGGTGCCGGAGACGGAAGGCTAGACTGCGCACCCCCACACCGGACTCAAGGTTACCGGTGCTAGGGTTGTCTTGTATATGGGCGACCCCTCCTCCTTTCCTATGCCCCCCTGTACAGTCTGGTTGCAAATTCGCTACCGCTTTCGCGACAGTCAAGGGCGTATATGACTGGTGTGTGGAGGGTGTGGTTTCTGTGTGTGGCACTCGATCTTGTCGGGGCTGGAGAGTGGACACCAGGGAAGTGTGAGTGCAGGGCCGGCGCTACCTGTAAGGCGGACTAGGCAGCCGCCTAGGGCGCCCCTTGGGAGGGGGCGCCGCCAGGAGCGCCGGCCCCGCTCATCCTGCAGCCGCCCGAGCGCTCTGTAAAGAGCCTCAGGCGGCTGCAGCTTTGCCCGGGCGGTGCGTCCATGAGGGCGGACCGCACCGCCCGGGCGCAACTTGAGGAGAGGCTGACAGGAGGGAAGCGATCAGCGCTCCCACCTGTCAGCTCCCTCTCTGTAGCGTGGCCGAGCCCTCTATGGCATGGTACTGAGTGTTCACTTCCTGTTAGTCCGGCTGGGTACAGGAAACAACAGCTCCCTGTACCGGTCGGACTATACTGGGCTCGGCCACACTACCACACAGGTAGGGGAGGGAGGGGGAAGAAAGAGGGAGGAAGGGGGAGAACAAAAAAAAAGAGAGGGAGGGGGAGAAGAAAGAAACAGGGAGGGAGGGAGGAGAAGAAAGAAACAGGGAGGGAGGGAGAGAAGAAAGAAACAGAGAAGGAGGGAGGGGAGAAGAAAGAAACAGAGAGAGAGGGAGGGGGAGAAGAAACTGACAGGGGAGGGGGGAGAAAGAAACTGACAGGGGAGGGGGGAGAAAGAAACTAACAGGGGGGGAGACATTGACGGGGAGAGAGAAATTGACAGGGAGGGGGGAGTGACAGGGGAGGGAGGGGGAATGAGAGTAACAAGGGAGGGGGGGAGAAGAGAGTGACAAGGGAGGGGGGAGAGATTGACATCCATCACACACACACACACAAATCACACACAATGCACCCCTTACACACAAAGACAATGAACCCCTTGCACACAGAAAAACACACAATGCATTACACACACAATGCATTACACACACACGCAATGCAACCCTTACACACAATGCATCCCTTGCACACACAGAAACACACAATGCATTCCTTACACACACTCAATGCACCCCTTACAGACTCACACACTTCATCCCTTACATACACAGAAACACACCTTGCAGCCCTTACACATACAAACACAGATTCACACAATGCATTCCTTACACACAAATCAGGACATTCCCTACACACTCCATCCCCTGTGAACAAACTCATTGGTGGAAAATGAAGGTGGACCCTGGGACCCAGACCTTGAGCTGTGTAAAGGGCCCCCAAAAAATGGAGCTGCTTCTCGTTCTCCCAGAACATTGATTTGTGTGACCACAGTTACAAACAGCCTCCAGAGATCCTGTTATACACCAGACCAGTGGAGCCAGACTGCAGCTAGAGCCCATCATCATCCTCATCTGCTTGTAAGTAGGTAATCTAGTATATTATTCGTGGCACTAATCTCTAATTTACCTCACATTAAAGAAACACTATAGTCCCCAGAACCACTGCACCTTAATGTAGTGGTCCTGGTGTCTATAGCCTGTCCCTGCAGGCCTTTTAATGTAAACACAGCGGCACTGCAGCACTAGCGTTAGTTAACATGGCAGGTCATATGGGTGAGGCATTGCGATGTCACGGGGGGGAGGAGGGGGGCGTCAAACTTTACTTTTGCCTAGGGCGGCAAAAATCCTTGCACCGGCCCTGTGTGAGTGATATGGAATGTATCGGTTTAGAGGGGAATAGTTAAAAAAAAAAAAAAAAAAGGGAAATAAGTTTTTTGGGGGGGGGGGGTCGTAAAAGCAGGACCTCAAGTGGAGAAGTTCCTCTATGTGAGGGAACAGGGTGGGTTGAGGATTTCACCTCAATACCTCCTCAGTGTTTGGAGGTATTAGTCGTGCGACAGCCGGATCTGCCGGGGGCCACTCCAGTAACCAGACCGAGATATGGTCCACCAGGTGCTCCGCTGTCAGAAGAGTTGCACGACCCTTAGGTGGAGTCAATGGCTCCGCTCCAGGCCGGTGTGAGAGAGAGAAATGAGAACGATACCAAGTGAGATTCCCCCCCACCAGCACCGCAGCCTAGTGCCATATGAAGTTTCTAAATGTCAAGGCGCCACCCAACAGGGGTGGTACATGTGATCATGAATACAGTAACAATTCAACAATACAATAATGCGAGTACAACATGAAGGTTCCTACACATAAGACGTGTACCTTATCCCACCTTTTGCTCAAAGCCCCGTCCGTTCCCCCCTCCCCGCGTCCCCTGTCTTCCCCCTGCAGTGTGTGGCAGCCGCTGCGTGTCCTCTGAGCAGTCCCCCATTCATCAGTCTGATTGTGCTTGTGTGTCGATTATTGCGCCCCCCAGCTAAACCCTACTCTAACGTTCTGTTCCCCTCAAATATCTGTTAATGGCGGTGTGCCCTATCGTTCACTAGTTAGGATGTCGTCTCCTACGTCGTGGGGCGTTATAGTAAGTCAGGTCATCCCACTAATCTATGTGTCTGCCAAGGTGGGGGGGAATACATATTCAGGAGGTGCGACATTCATCAGCTAGCATAACATGAATATAACAACAGTATGAAATATAGAGGTTAGGCACGGTAATAAACATTCGTAACTTATCAGGGATTTGGTGAATGAGACCTAGGCGGTGTATACCGGGTGATATCACCCCATACCGTGAGTCCACAGCTCAGATCTGCAGGAGAGTGGCGTAGTCCCGTTGAGCTCAGTTCCAATATGAGTGGGAAAGTCCCCTGGGGTCAGTGATATAAAACGTGCCTTATGAGGTTATAAACAGGGCCCACCCCAGTCAGAGAGTGCCCTATAGTAGCCCACCTCCCAAATGAGTTTCCGCGGTGTCGTTCACTGGGTCAGATGTGTTCCCCAGCACCTCCCGGACCGTTAGGGGGAGAGACAGTTCCTTTCACCCCCACTCAAAATGTCTTGGAGACGAAGAAGGTAGATGAAGCCTCAGATCATCTCTCTGGGAGGGGTAGGGAGTCAGTTATAGGGCTAACATGCCCAGTGTGTACATGGGGGGCTGCCTCAATTCCCATCCTAGCGCCTGTGCATGTTGGGGTGTCCTCCCCAGTGGGGTGTCTAAGGGGGGGGTAGAGGGACCGGTCGAGGGCTCACCTGTCACTCTGGTGCCTCCGGGTTAATGCGTCTGCGGGGAGCCGGGCCTCTTGGTGGGTTGTCTCCACGCCTGCGGGGCGCTCTCTGTTGGCGTGGCCTCCCACCCAGTGGACCCAGAACCCAGTCTTGGACGGATATCGGAGGCAGGTCCATCTCCTCCAGGAACCGTGGGACCTCCTCAGGCCAGCGGATCGACACCCATCCATTCTGGTTGCGCGCCAGCAGGACAAAGGGGAAGCCCCACCTGTAAGGAATATTCCGCTTCTGCAGGGCTGTGGTTATGGGCTTTAACGCTCTCCTGGCTTCAAGCGTGATGGGCGAAAGGTCACTGTATAGAGAAACTGAGGCCCCTTGAAAATCTCAGGTTGGGCGGGAACGGGCCGCCTTCATGATAGCGTCCTTATCTCTAAAAGAATGGAGGCAGCAAATCAAGTCCCGTGGGCCTTCTTCCAGGGACCGGGGGCGCAGAGCTCTATGTGCGCGTTCGAATTTGAGAGTCTGGGGTGCTTCCTCTCCCAATATCATGCGGAATAGGTTAGATAAAATGTCTGCCGCATTTTCCTCCCTACCCTCAGCTTCAGGGACCCCACGGACCCTGATGTTACATCTGCGCCCCCTGTTATCTAGATCTTCAAATGACCGTCTCATGTGGAGTAACAGCTCCCCTTGACGTGTGAGTGCCGTGTCTGTTGCTTGGTGTCTCGCAGCATGAGCCCCCTGTGTGCGTTCCAGTTCCTGGATGCGGCCCGCTTGCGCAGTTACCTCCGTCCGGAGCCCTGCCATCTCAGCTCTCAGAGCGTCCTGTATGGTGGTAGTTAGGACTAGCAAGTCAGCTTTCGTGGCCATTGCAGTTGCCATATTTCGGAGTACTTCTCCAATCTTTTCCAGTGCAGCACCATGTGGTTCCCTGGGGGATGATGCCGTCGGCGCCATATTGGATCCGCTTGTTCCCTCGGCCGCATCAGGCTGGGTCTGGAGGAACCCGTCCATCGGGCCGTGTGTCTGGCCCAGCTGTGTACCCCTCGGGGTTTGGGGGGCCTCGGTGCGTCGGTGGCGCCCCATAAACGCTAATGTTTGCTATTTAGCAGGCTGTTTACGGCGCCGGTGGAGCGGAGCTCTCAAATCACGCGTCCATCCCGGTCAGAGCCTAAGCCTACAAATCTAACAAATCTACAATACACAAGAAAAAAGAGTGCTACAAATGCAGTGGTTGCGTTACATGCAGCCATATGAACTCTGGCAGTTCCTTTCTCCATCCGCATAGTGGCAAAAGAATCCCCATCACACAATACATCACCTGTATGATGGATCACATAATATACTTAATTACGTGTCCATGTGGACTATCATACGTGGGGAAGACCGATCTTACTCTATGGGACCTTATCAGAGGTCACAGGTCTGGCATCATGATGGCGTTCAGAGACCAGAAGACAGATAAACCCGTTGCTAAACACTACTTAGCAGCATCTTATAGACTGCCTACCCCTCGATTTATTGCCATAGACCATATCCCCCTTTATCCCGTGGGGACGATAGGTTGAGATTGCTGCTTCAAAGAGAAGCATACTGGATCCATCGTTTGAATACAGTGGTACCCAGAGGCCTCAACGAGCAAATTGTATATTCCATGTTCCTTTAGTTTTTCCAATTATTTAGTGAAATATTTAGTGAAATTTTGTTTAGCCCATAGCCTAGGTCCCCAGTACACATATCTACAATTTAATGGAACATATAAGGCTTATTATATGATATTCACCATGTAGTATTTTAAAATACATGGCCCATTCTCATATAGTTCCAAATAGTGACATTGTACTATGTCTTATTCACCTAATCTCTTGACTCAATATATAACTTTCACTATCTCTTTGATACTCTATTTTGTGGACCATTAACAATCTTTATTACATATTCATATAATTAATAAATCTGTGCATATTCACATATGCTGATCATGTTTATTTTGCATAGATTCTGATGGTATGTGCATACAGCTTTTGATTAAGTTAGGGGTCTGCCATAGTTATGTATATACTGTGTGTTACACTTTGTTTTCACATTTCCACCACATCTTATTTTTTGCACTTGTGGAGCTCCTACACTTACTTGATTATCAGCAAGTACATACTTTAACTAATGGTATTTCAAGTTCAATTATCTTTGTTCCTAGAAAATAACTTTGAAATATCCTCCATCTTTGTTATTAACTGTGTTATTTTATCTGTCCACAGCACTTCACTGTAGATACGCAGTACGGGGGAATCACATTTATATCATTTTGTAATAGAAACAAATTGTCACAACAAAGTATTCATTTATGTTATCTCTCTCTCTATTGAAATGTCTACGATCACTTAATATGAGAAATGCAGGCAGTCACACAAAAAAACGGACTAACAAGTGTGACGTCATATGCGTAAGTGACTGTATAATGAGAAAGAGGATTGGAACACATGTACGGCAAACGCCGAATACCTGGCGGGAAATTTGATTGTTAAGCAGCATGTACTTACCAATATACAGGTATATAAGCAGGTCTCCAGACAGGCGGAGGATCATATTGGAGAGATTCACCCAGCTGAGGAAGCCGGAGGAAAATCGTCAAAACGTGTCCTGGGGACTTGACGGATCACCTTCATGCCTTTATGTATTGTATTTATTTTAGAGTTATTTTAGTTTTTATATGCTAAATGGCCATTAGAATTTTATATATTATTTAATAAAGTTCCTTTTTAAATATACTATTTGGACTATTTGCATATGGGAGTGTAGTCCCAAACTACACAATGTGCTGCAAGAGAACCGAGACGTTGCTCCACCTTTGTGAGTTTATATATCACCATTACGTTTCAAATTGATTCCAGTTCCTGAATATACTGCACTATATATATATATATATATATATATATATATATATATATATATATCTTTGTTTAAGCTTCAGTGTGCGCTGGAAAAGACCATTAGAACTTGAATTAAAGAAGGGGAGGTCGCCTTTACGGACCTACAAGCTTTCTACCCCTGAGCTTGGCGAATAGCTCAGAAGAGTGTGAGTTATTCCGTATGCATTATAAATAAGGACTTTAATGCATTACAATATTACGCTATTGCAGTTTATTTTATATTCTAAGCTTACCATGTACAACAAATATTGGTCCTGGTGGGAATGCCCTTTGGGTCTGTAATAATTCTTTAGTTTATATATAGCGCTACACCTTTCTTTGTGTTTTTGTGGTATAATGACACTATTATTTTGATCTTGAAAAAGACCCTTGTGTGGGTCAAAACATTGATCGGGACAGTATGCATGCAATTTAAGAAAAAATTTGAGAAAAAAAAGACCTGTGAGAGCACCTACTCTCTATTGCAATATATATATACTGCAATATATATATATTGTGACAGAGTGTTGGGGATGGTGGTCAGGGGTGTATATCTGGCACCCAGACTTTTGCACAGCCACTATCCTGACATGTGGGTAAGCACATGCAGCCCCAGGGAGAGTTAAGTTTAAATGTAGGTTTATTTTCCTCTGTTGTTATTTGGGTCCCTGGGGTGGAGTATTCGGAAGAGCAGGATGGGCCGATTTTCCACCCACTGTCAGAGTGGTTGTGCATGAGTCCATCCCAGGTTTTCTAAGGAGTTCTGGCTCACTGCCTAACGAGGTCATTAGCCTCACCTGTAGGGGCTGTGAGCAGCTATATAACTGCAGTTAAAGCAGGGTGGAGTGAGGGAAGTGTTTGAGGAGAAAGACGGTTTGCTGTTTATTGTATCCTGTTACTTCATAACAACAGAAAATAAACAGGCCAGAGGCCTTCTTGAAACTGGACTTTGTCTTGACCTGGTTTTCTTACCCTAGAGGGCTGTGTGGTTGCCAAAAGGTCCTGGACAAACACACACCGGAAAGTAAGTTTGTAACATATGGTGTAGAATGCGGGTACTGTACTGAAGAAGCCTGTGGGTATTAACTGGAAGCCAAACAAGCCTGGAGAAATATGGAGGAAGTTGTGAAAGTTTTGTTGCAAACTACAGCAGCACAGAAAAAGGCTACAGCCGTACAGCAGGAGGCCACAGCCGCACAACAGGAAAATATTACAGCCCTACAGCAACTGGTAATTACGCAAAAGGCCAACACAGATGCTATGATCCAGCAGGTTATGGCAGCCCAAGCTGAGGCAAATTGCCTGCTCAGGGACGAGCAACATGAGGCCACCAGTATGAGACAGAAGGAGATACAGGCTTTGACCAAGGGACTGACCAGAGTCTCGGATGGGACGCAGTCCGAGGTTAAAATGATCAGAGCCAGCCATTACCTGCAGAAGATGACACCCACAGATGATGTGGAAGAATGCCTGCTAGCTTTTGAGAGGACAGCTGAGAGAGAAGAGTGGCCGGTGAGAGAGCAAGCCTACTAGCACCTTTTCTTATTGGAGAACCCCAGAAGGCTTTCTATGACCTGGAACCAGCACAGGCAGGGGTCTACTCCAAACTGAAGGCTGAGATCCTTGCACGACTTGGTGTGACTATGGCAGTTCGTGCCCAAAGATTTCATGCCTGGACTTTCAACCAAGAGAAACCTATCCGCTCCCAGATGTTTGACCTGATACATCTTGCTAGAAAGTGGTTACAACCAGAAATAAATACGGCAAGCCGCATCATGGAACTTCTTGTGATGGACAGATTCCTGCGGGGCTTGCCTGCTTCAATGCGTCGGTGGGTCAGTCAGAGTGATCCACAAACAGCTGATGAGTTAATTGGTTTGGTGGAAAGATATGTTGCTGCGGATGACAGACATTGGCATAACAACACAAAGTCTAGGCAGAGAGTTAAGACTCCAGCTGCTGAAAGACCTGGTAAGATTTTTCAAGGTTTCAGAGACACAGAGGAACAAGAGACATATTCTCAGAGACCTCATACGCTTTTGCCTAGAAATGTTAATCCTGGAAAAGGGTCTAGGTGGGGGACAGTTGATGATATGAAATGTTTCCGGTGTAATGAACCTGGACATAAAGCCAGAGACTGTCCCTTGATTAATGAACCTATGCAATGCAATATGATTAATCAGGATGTACAATTGTCTTGTTTGCTGAATTATATGGAATCTGCTGTTGCCAACTGTAGTCACAATCCACAGATATGTTCCATAAGGGTAAATGGGAAAGAGGTTAGAGCTCTGTTAGTCTCCAGAAGTATGGCGACATTGATAACAAAATGCCTTGTACCTGAAGCCGATGTTGATGCATTTCAGAATATTGGTATAATTTGTGTTTATGGTGACAAACGTGAATATCCTACAATTTTGCTAAAATATGAAAGCCTTTTTAGTACTGTTAATCATAGAGTGGGGGTAGTGGATAAATTGGCTTATGATGTGGTGTTGGGAAGGGATTTCCCCCAATTTTTAGACTTGTGGGGGTCTCCAGGAAAAGTAGCTCATGATTGTATAGCAAATGATGATTCTGGAAATGTGTTCCCTTTTTCTGACATAGAATGGGAAGGACTAGGCATAAGACCAGAGAAGGCTGAAGCCTCAAGTCACAGGCCAGCTTTAGTAGGAGATGACCCGGGCCACGATAGTCAGGAGTCCGATAATGATCAGGATCAAGGCATTAACTTCCCTGAATTAGAAGTCAGTCCTGTTAACTTCAGGAAAGCACAATGGGAAGACCCCACTTTTGCATAGGCCCGTAAAAATATCCAGGTTTCTACTGATGATCCTGTACAACTAGATAGAGCCCCTTCTTTTCCTTACTTTGATTTATAGAGTAGAGAAAAAGGGGATGGATGTTGTAAAGCAACTATTTGTTCCTAAGCTCTTCAGACATACAGTCCTAAATCTTGCACACAGCCATATACTGGGGGGACATTTAGGCATAGAAAAGACAAACAAAAGAGTCTTACAGAGGTTTTATTGGCCTGGGGTATTTGCTTCAGTTGCAAATTATTGTTTTTCTTGTCCTCAATGCCAACACACCGCCCCTCTTAAG